CAATGGAGCAACACATTTGATTTCCTTCGGACTTGGTTCGCAGAAAATGGTGACGTAATCGATCGTCTCCTTCTTCATCATTGTGATACGTTATCGTACATGCGCATAGGGAGTTCTTACTGATTGCATATATTGTATGGTTAGCTGTACTAACATAATTACTGATACTTAGCCCCTCAGATTGTACAAGCCCTAACACAGTCATCGAGCCCAGGATTCACTTGACAACGAGCGAGTGCCGTGTGGAACCAATCAGCAACATTGTGTCCTACGCATTTGCTGTCTGCGGGCTTTTTCCCAAAGATGGCGAACCGCTATTCGATTGAATCGTTGGATCTGTTGTCTTTGGGGTGGATTTTGTTTCTTTCGAACTATCCGCATCGTGTGAATTTGCTATATCATGCAGCATGGAATACCATTTTTTCGCATCGAAATCCAATGCCCCGTTATGATTACTGTTGGTGCTTTTGTTGTTGTTGTTGTTATTGTTGTACCGATGAGTTGTACTTCCGTCAGACGATTCGGTTACACCGTTTTCCGTATTCAATAAACAGTGGGATTCGGAATCGGCGAGACCTAACAGCAGAATCGACTGATTTGTCTCCGACCCGAGCGTGGTCTGTACCGCACCTGGCCCGAATGGGACCAAAGGAGTATAGGTTGTGGGAGTGGATATTTCCATTGGGGCTTCGCCGTTCGCATCGGGGCGTCGGGTACCTAGTTCGTACGGATTAGTGTCAACCATGGGTGGATAAGTGGGTAAACACATGCAGTTATCTGGAATATAAAGTGACTGACCAGAAGCGGGAATTGGTGGCTGAGCTCCGGAATTGGGAAAATAACAGACCAAAGGTTGAGGTATTCCTAAAGGTTTGCCTGTTCCTGGAGCTGATGAATTGGCCAGTTGATTTTGACAATAGTAGTAATAGTAATAATAGTACATTTGAGAGGCTAACGGGTCGTTTATGACAGGCATTGGCATGTAATAGTGTGGCGGATGAATCGATCCAGGAACCACGCTGGGATCCACCGCATTCAATGGAACGGTTGATGACAAATAGACCGTATTCAGCGGAACCGAGTTTGTTCCAGGACTAACAGATTCGGGGTTCATCAATCCACTTTTGAGCAGTACCGGTTTGGTATTAGATACTTTGTCCGCGGTTGAACAACAGTTGCTGACACCGGTTGAAGTCTCCGTTCCATAAGTCGCACGTACAGAATTACTGTTATTGTTGTTGTTCGAAGTCAAGTTTTTCACCGACTGGGATCCAGCTTCTGATTTGGTTGTGTCCGATTCATTTGAACCGGGTGGTGATAGCACAGTGTCCGGGTGCGGATGAGTTTCCAGTGGATTTGTTCCAGTGTTCTGAGAAAATGTAACCAAGCCCGGTTGGACGGTAGCTATCTGTGCTAGATTATTCATTCCTGATCCACTTTTACTGTTCGTCAATGAGGCTGAGAGGTACTGATTGGTTAGGGAATTCGGGTACATTGTGTTCGGTTTGGCAACATGCGCCGGATTGATAGTATTTAGTCCAGGTGCAGTTAACATGCCAAAAGGACCACCAATCAGAAATGCGGGTGAAGCGATTAGACCAGGTAGTGTGGTTCCATTCGTTCCATTGGCCCCGGGGAAAGCCGAAGTGAATAATGAATTGTGAGCAAAATCGACCGTTCCCGGGGTGCCCATATTGACTGCGGCGACCGAGGTAAGTGCGGCAGCAGATGATAAATTGGCTGTAATCGATTCCTGATTGTTCATACTATCGATTCGATCAATCCAGCGAGTGAACACTTGACGATTATTTTCATCCCGTTTCGCCTGACTGGTTCGTAACCATTCCAATAAACGTTCACGACCAGTTCCACTGGGGTTTTTATTCGATTTGGAGTTAGTCGATTCGTCTGATTCCGCGGTTTTCGAGGCCGTGGTAATGCTTTTCGGGTAGGAGGATTGCGATTTCTTGTAACTACTACCTACCGACTCGGTTAGAACTGATCGATCCGGCCCGGTTCGTTGTCCCATATACGCGTTATCATTACAATGGGTCATGGATGACCGGGTTGATGATATCAGGTCTTCATCGGACGCATGGAACAAATCGGCTAGACGTGGTTGACGCTTAGGTACATCACCCCAACAACTGACCGCGTCTGGTGAACGGGAATTGGGCACAAGTGGATTGGTATCCGGTAAACATACATTGGTTCCCAAAGAATAGGTTTTGCAGCGCGTAACAGAATCACCAGTTTCTTTGAGATGATTTTTTTGTCGTTCGTGATTATGACGGGATCCGGCAGATGTTGAGTCTAGAAACGGTTTCATTGCGGCTTGGGATAGGCAGAGAAAGAGAGATAGAAAGCAAAACAATTGCTAGAGAGATAAAGCCGTTGATAATGGTGATTCGGTCGTGTTCTTTTCGCTGTCTGTCAATAAAAATACAAGAATCGCATTGAAAAATCACTGTATGATGCGGGACAGAGGACAGTATGTTCTCAACTTTAGGCGCCCCCAGAAGATAAACCCAGTACAACTCTGCCCGACAGATGTGCGAGGGCTGGTCCGATGATCGACTGAAATCGATGCGGGGACAAATTTAAATCCTTCCTCAAAGAAAGATGAAAATCACGTGATGGCCGAATCAAGAGCGGTGACTTCGAGGAACTGAAGAAATTATCCGATATTTGTTTGAACCCTGCGAACACATCGTCGCAATTAGTGCTGACAGTTGGCTACGCAGATCGCACTTTCTAATTAACCCCTGAATAAGCCTAGGTGTATGGTTCTAACAAGTGAAAAA